ACCTCCCTCAACCAGGCTCCACACCCTGGGGACACTGGGGTGCATCCAGCCCTGGGAGCCAGGTAGCTTATCATAGCATGTTGGACCTGTCCAGAGCTACACGAGCAGACAGTGGGCACCAACGTAGGACCACCTCCTTCCAGGCAGCACTGGTCAAGCTGGTGCCCTAAGGTTTTGAGTGTTTATGTGCCTGCTGATCCCAGAAACATGTGCACTGTCTGTGAGCTGTGCAGGGGCTTCAGTGCCAGAGACATAGAGCTCTGGGAGTCCCAAGACAAGACCCCAGTGCCCACCAGATTTGGGCATCTCACCCACCCTCCCCTCTCACCGGCCAAAACGGGGATGGTGCAATTAGGGAAGACACCTTTGCAGCATGACATGGCCCTGCAGCAGGGATATCAGGATACAGAGTGAGGGGGTGCAGCAGGAGAGCTGAAGTTTTTCCATGCCAATGAACCAGGGCTGTCCACTCGCCCCCATTTCCATACCCTACCCAGTCATGTCACCCACAGTCACCCCTGCGCCGGGGTTGAGCACCTGCACCTACATCCAGCTACAGCTTTAACAGGCGCTCATGTTCGGGATGCACAAGAGCGGAGCACTTCAGTGGCCAGAAAGCAGGGCTAGGAGCATCCCACCTCCATCACTTCTTCCTCGGGACCTTCTGGCATCTGCCAAGCCCACATGCTGCCTGGCCGGCACCCACAGTCTTGACACATGCAGTTTTGCCAAACCCTGGTGGAGTTTTGTGGTTGGTTTTTTTTTTTTTGTTAAGAGCTTCACTAAGCAACCTGTGAATTGACTTAACAAGTATGGCAGAAAAATGCCACTGTTTCAGACGAGAACTTTTGTGGCACTTGGAAGGTTATTTATAGCCTCGAGCAAGCAATCCCAAGCTAAATCACACTGCAGCTCTGCTCTGGGCTGAGCAGCCTTGACAGAGCACATGGTGCTCCAGGGCTGCCAGCACAAACAGCCCCCAGATAAAGCTGCCAAGTCTCTCCTAGGCAGCTAAAGAGGTGCAGAGCTTCACACAACCTGTCTCTGGCTTCCTAGCCCTCCAGGAAAGGGAGCCTCGCTGGGAAGGGTGCCTGAAGCAGAGGAGAGGAACTGGAGACCCCGATCGGAGCTGTCTGCAACTCAACTCACTTCAAATGCTTTTATGTATGGCCCCTACATACACAAAAATACACACAAGAGTGGAAATACACATGCATTTGTTGCTTCATTTTCACCTGGGGCTATAATCCCTTTCCTGATAAAGCGATTATTTTTGCAGCAACCGGCAGGCACTGCCAGAGCTTGCAGCCTCCAGAAGACAGCAGCAGGTGAGCTGGAGGGGGTCAGAGGAAGGAACATACTGGATCAGGCTAAAGTCTCCTTCGTGTCCCATCTCCAAACATAGACGGTAGCAGATGCTCCGTTCAACTTCAGTTTCCCACGCACAAAAGCAGAGAAAAGTACTGACAAACATGAGAGAAAATGCCTGGTTGCCAAGATTCCTTAATGGGGGGGGGGAAACCCAACAACCCACCACCCGGACCCAAAAAACCTGCCTGATGCCCAGAACAGCAGCAATCCTCCCAAACCTCCAGTCCTGCATTTATCTGCCAACAGGTCTGAGATCAGGAAAGTTGGGTATCAGCACAGGTCCTGTCCCAGCCCGAGTCCTGGACTGCGGGCAGTGGGTTTGCCCGAGGACCAAAGCTTGCCTGGATAGCCCCTTCCCCCCTCGCCTGCAGACTGGGGAGCAGCAGAGAGGGTCCTTGCACCCATCTCCCCCCTTCGTTGGGAACCACATACATTATGGCAGTCTCAGGACTGAAGAATTAAGAGCTTTTTCCAAATAACGAGTATTTGGTAAGTGGGACATCGCTCTGAACCACAAGATCTCCAGGTCAGGTGGGATCTCTTGCTGCTTCCAGGGAGAGCCCAGCCCAGCAAGATCCCAAGAGCAGTTCTAACAACAGGGGCCAGCAAGCGCTGCCCTGTGCGGATCAGCAGCCCCCAGCACCCCTGCACTCGAACGGACAGGGGGTCCAGCAGCCCAACGACAGGCTCCACCACCCTTTTAATTTCCTCTACACGCTGATCTCTGGAGGCGTTGGAGTAGCCTGAGTCACGATTTCTGAATGCAGAGAATTGCTGGTGTTGCACAAGCCGGCCCTTGGGTTCTGTCCCACAGCACCAAGGCTTTGGGGAGATAAGGAGTAAGCTTGCATCCCCCTCCGCCTCGCCCCAACTGGAAGAGCTGTGCTGGCGGAAACGTGGAGGAGGACAGAAGGAATCTTTGCTTTCTACGTACCCACTTATTTAACCAGGAAACCATTGCACAAGTGGGAATTTATGCCCTCTCCCCTGTGCCACGCTGCAGCTCCCAGCTCCTTCCTCCGAACACTCCAGCTCACTCAAGAGGCCTGGCTTTTGATTTTATTCAACAATTTGGACCACAAGAAGCAGAAAAAAAGTGAACATCCTGCCTTCCCTCAGAGCTAGCTCCTCCAATTCCCAGCAGCCTGGCCGAGAAGCCTCAGGGACACAGATGGGTTTGATGCCAAGAGCGGAGGCCAATGAAAACAGATCCAAAAGTGTGAAACGTATTACTATTCCTAAGAAGACAGAGTGGGATTTTTCCAACTATTGGATTTATTTCCAGAAAATGGATTAACATAATCCTTAGAGGACACTTTGCTCAGACTTGGTGTCCCTGTGCCAGAGCATATGGCTGCAAGTAGCTTCGGCGGGGACGAGCGACTCGTCTCCTGGTGGCATTGCATGTGACGGCACCGCTTCCTCCAAATCCTGACTGCCCGTGGCCACTCACCCTGGGGGTCCTTGGGGAGAGGCAAGGGGACAACAGCACGGATGCCAGCAGCTACCGATGAATCAAAACACGCGTTACATCCGCTACACGTGCCATTTAAAGACAGCAGCAGACAGCGTAGGTCTGAGTGTAAAAATAAAAATTAAACTGACAATCCAGTGCATACCGACTCAGGCCCATGCTACCCCCCTGCCGTGAGCCCCAAGCAAGCTCGTCAGGAATCCCAGGCTGCCAGAGCGAAGACCACTGATCCGGCTGCTGAGGGCTGTAACACCAGGATCCCCACAGCCCGCACTATCAGCAATCCCAGGAGGCTTTTAGGAGACAGGCACGCAAGTCCCTGCGCCCCAGATGAGTGTGTTTTTCTTTAATCTTCCCCCAAAGTTCCACTTTAAATCAGAGTTCCTCATTTTTGTGACTCGTGCTGGGTGTCTGGGTGAAACAAGAGTCGCGCAGGTTTAAGTACTCAGGATTCTCAGGGATAAAAGGAACTAGAGAATTGTAAGCATTTAATTAATCTACAGCAATCTAATAAAAGGATGGAGTAATTGCCTAAGCCATCTGCATTCTGCATCTGGCATCAGGAGCTGCCGGAGAAACCCACAAATTCGGAAGCTGAGTTTCGTATGGATTGTGCTTGGCACTAACGCGTGCCACAGGATACCAAATAAGAGAAAGAGGAGCTAACAAAGACTAATATGCACCACCCCGTTAATGCAGCCAGACCAGCAGCAGGGAAAAGAGATGAGCCATGAGCAGACCGAGGGGCAACCAAAGCTCTATCCCACTACTCCCTCCTCAAGCTGGGCCACCCAAACCCAGCATGGAAGAGGCAGCCCCACTTGCACCTGGGCACAGAGGATTTAGAAAGGGAGATGTTTGCAGCCTCCCTGTAGGTGTGGGGTGAGCGGGTGCTGGCTGTGAAACAGCAATGGGCTCCAATAATTCAGGAGCAAAAGGTTGCAAAGCTGAATTTGAACGGTCTTTCCCAGGAAACAGTTGCAAAGCAGGTTTTAAGTTTGCTCCATAAACAACTCCTCTGCTATTTTGCTCTCTGCAGCACGGTGCCTGCTGTCGGGCAGGTGATGGCCTCTGTAGAGGAACCCTCCCAGTCCTGAGAAAAGGGGAAAAATAACACTTTGACACCCTCCAAGGGGCTGCGACCTCGCCTGCGCGGCACTTAACACGATTAGATGCCAAATCTGTGATTTTTTTTCCCCTGTCAGCACACGTGCTCCAAGGACAACGGTGTATGACAGACATCTGCCTCCCTGCCACTCAAAACTGTTTTACACTGGGTTTTTTTCCAAGGCAATCTCACTCAAGTGTGATAACTGTATCCCCAGGAAGAGCAAAGGGGGCACGATTTATGTTTCTCCTTTTCGAATTCCATGGCCAGCTACTTCCCGGCGTGCTGCCAGCCAACGCTACCTGCTCCGGGCTGGGCAACACAGATGGGTAGCTGGGCTTCTTCCCAGCCTGCTGCGAGATCGCAAGCCCTCAGCCTGTGGGAAGCTGCAGCCTAAGTGGAGTAAGAGACTGAGAGGTCCCAACAGAAAAAAAAAGAAGAAAAAAAGAGTGATTCCTGCCAAACGCACTAGCAAGAATAGTTTATGTATGCAAGGAGAAATAGCAAGCTTTTATTTTGGGCGGGTGGCCCTGACCTCTTGCACTGCACCGCAAACGGCACGCAGCTCCTTCCCCTGCTCCCACCATGAGTTTATCCCATTAGAGGAGCACTGGGCACGAGGCACCCCGCAGACACCAGCCGTCCCCCATCACACCGGTACTCCAGCGTTGCCCACAGCACTGGACACACAGCGCATGGCCCAAACCCTCCTCTCCTGCCTGGGAAGATGCACACAGGCCCCAGTTCTCCGGGGTCAACATCCCCAGGTAACACCACGCAGAGCCAAGGAGAGATGCAGGGCCAGGGAGGG